AGTCATTACTATGAGGTATTGTCTTAAATTCCTGAATCAAATTGACATTGCACAGTACGTACCGTTTAGCGAGGCTCAAAGGCTGTGATTGCCATGTCTACGCACTGCCTGGGTGGAGTGGGGTTACTTCGTTTGTTAAATCTGATCTAGCCAATTAAAATTTGTTGTACTGTCGCATTGCGCGACCCTTTTGGGAATAGTTGGACTTTCTGCCGGGTGCGATTGCTGATTGTACCGAGCCCTCACCGCCCGCCCAAGAAATATAAATATCTGGCTCCCCTCCCTCGATTCTGGGATTCTTCTTCCTTTTCTTCTTTAGCTCTCTTTGCCTTTTGGCTTAGATCAAGTGTAGTATCTGTTCTTTTCAGTTTAATCTCTGAAAGAGTCCTACTTGGACTCAATCGTGATTATTCTAATTTTTGTCCCGAGGGAGCGCATCCTCTGGGCTTGCCCATGATCGCTTCCACCGTGTCCCTGGTATTACACTGCCTCCAGGTGACGCGAACATTTGTTTTTCGTTGCAATTCCTAGCTTGCCTAGGGATGTGAGGAAGAATAATTAGAATTGTTAGCATGGTGATTTGTGCTCAGGTTGTCTCGTCTAACACGATGTTTTTGTAATTCTACTGCGTAACTAGTATTTGGGCTTAGTATTTTCCGGTTCCTATGTACGGTGATGATTAGTCGGTCGCGTTTAGAAGCAGCCGTTTCCCATCAGGTATCATCAGCCAAATCCAAGGAGTGAGGTCGAATTACGCGACTCACGAATAATATTTTGATACCCGCTATCGAAGCCATACAGGCGACCACCGTCTACTTGATCGCTGATCTCGTCGAACCTCCTTCGCGAAGACCTAGATAAAATCGTACCATAAGAAGTAATAGAGATATATCTGGGTGCCTAACGTCTGTCTGTTTTCCCTGACAATTTTGTAACTAATGAAGTGGCCTTTATGGTATTTCTCTCGTTCATATTTTGGGTGAATTTCTTTCCCAAGCTTCCCAGAGTCGAGGACTGCAAGCAAGAGAGAATAGGATCAGCGTCCATGCATAGTATGTTCATTTACACCATCACATCTAGCCACTCTCTCCATCCAGGCACCCTTAGCCAATATAAAAACCATGAACTTTACTAATTGCTAGCTATGGTAGCAGAATATGTGTACATCTTCACTTCAATGTTTAGCTAAGATAGCCGATATCTAAGCTACCTTAGCTCGATTAAAAGCCGAATAGAAGTGGGTGATTAGGTACTCCAAAACGCGTATAGAAATTTACATGGAACTCTTAAGGTCTTCCTCGAAGTTAATCGTCGTATAAATTTATATGCAAGGCTAAGATGACATTCTACTGGCTCTCCTAATAGATGAAGTCTAGAGGAAGTCAATAGCTCACATTTTATTCGAGGATAGCATTATCGAATCTATGTTGAAACCCCAATAGAAGATATTTAACTTGAACACTTTTTACAGAACAGAGCATTATAATACGTTGCCAAAACTTATACCTGTGTAAAGGCTACAACAGTATCGATTGTTAATAGATCTACAGCTACGGATTCGCATAATACAAGTTTACTCATACACCCCAACCACTCTCACACTTTCAATCCCCTATGCTGATTAACCTCTGAACTCGGCTAACCCGTCATCCTCCTCTAACAACGTTATAAAAGAAAACGGAGTGAACAGGTGACCCGCGAACTCGGCGTATTTCGATTGTGCCTCAACCCATTGCAGACGGAGAGAGTGCAACTAAAGGATAAAGTTAGTTGGCATTCGATTTGTACCATGTAAAAAGTAGCTAAGGAGGAGAGACTTACCATCGCGCTACAGCCTTCCATACAAATGAGAATGGCACAAGAAAGGAAAAACCACAAATAGAAAGCAACAACGATCATGAAAACACCAAGGACGCCCGGCTTAGAGAGTGCTGGGCCGAGAGTCATGTCCCAAAGCACGACACTTAGCTGCTGGTGAGCGAGTGATAACGCCCAGAGACGCAGGTAAGAAGCAGTGTGAGAGACACAGTTCAGGCAGAATTCTATACGTATAAGTTAGTAAGTGCTTGCGACATCGATTATGGTAATTATAACTTACCAATTGTGTGGATGACCTGATGGATCATGATCTCATTGAATTCAAACTCTTCATGGCCCTCGTCGTCGTCACCGTGCGCGATCATAGCGACGCCCTCACCATCATCGGTGTCCACACTGGGACGGCCGTTGCCATTGCCATTGCCTTGGAAGTGCCCATCGCTTTCGTCCTCATCAAGCGCCGAGACTCTAGATGGTTCGCCTATGCCACGATAGCCCTGGGCACGAGCTCGGTTGTGCTCCCATCGCAAGTATAGTGGCTTCAGGAGCAACAGGATGGGAACCTGGGCAAAGGCAAGGAGTAACAGCGTAACTTGTACACCTTTTTGTCCTGGATACAGTGGAATATCCAATGTGCCGGGCTGCAGGAACATGTAAATCAACATGTTCAGAAGTCCGGGAGGCTGTTCTCCAATCGCGAGCCAGTCCACAGACCACTTGTAAACAATGCAAATAACGAGGTAACCGAAGATGGCTTGGAAGAAGATCATCCCCGGTAAGAAGTTACCCCAGATGTCAATTGGTCTCTTGAAGTGTCTCGCATTGACATAGGATAGGCAGAGGGAGTATGTCATGTGCGCCCACCCAAGAATGATAGACATCTTCATCTTGTAGCTGTTGCTAAACAATAAGTCATTCTCGGTACCATGCCAAAACCAGTCGAGACCAAACGGATATCGGTAGTCGCCCTTGAGCTTAGCCACAAGAGGCTGGCCCTCTTGCCATCCCTCAGGAACGTCCCATTCCCAGGCGCTGTCGAAGAAAGTGAAACTCTTGGAAAACACATCGTTGTAGATGAGACCCGTGAATAAGGAGAACATAGCCATGACCAAAGCAATGTATCGACCATAGAAAATCATAGCGAAGAGTTCGAATGTGACTTTCTTCAGGGGCTTCTCCCAATATATCATAGCCAAGGAAGCAAAGAACATGATGGTGGCGTGGCCGAAATCTCCGAACATGACGGCAAACAGGAAAGGGAAGGTAACGATAGCAGGTAGAGCCGGGTTGACCTCTTGGTAGGTCGCCGTACCGTATGCATTAATGATAGTCTGGAATGCTTCTGTAAATTTATTGGTCTTCAAGTAGGTCGGAGGAGTCTTGTTTGTCTTGATCTCATTAATAATCGACGGAACAGACAGGCCTGCTCGGTTGGTCACATCTTGAAGTGTGGTGCGAATGAGAGGTAAATCATTCGTAGGACACCAACCTTCCGCAATGAGAGTCCGTCTCTGTCGGTCGAATGAGAAGAGATTGAGCGTTTGGTAGGTAGCCTTCTCCTTCGTGATTAAAATCATCCATGCTGCAAGAGACTGAGCAATTTGGGTGAGCTCGGCTTCGAGAGTCTGCTGCGTATTGTGCAAGACGTTTCGAACATCGTTGAGACGGGCATTAACCTCATGCATCTGGTCGCGACGAAGGTCTGCGTTTTCGTCGACGCTATAGATATCAGCGCCCATAGATTCCGAAATTTTGCGGATCTTGGCTAGGATTTCCTTGCCATGAGCAAAGATAACGAAGACATTCTTGTTAATAGACTCGTTATTACTCGGATCAACAAGGGGTTCGGGAATCTCGGATTGGTTCATATATAAGTTGCCGCGAAGCGTTCTCCAGAGAATGCGCTCGAAAGCAGCTACCCGGTCGCGGTTTATAACACCAGCGATGAAGCCAATATTCATACCAGAGAAGGAACGTTCAACGTCGCCACCCTGGTTGTGCTGCTCCACGTCTTGGAGTAAAGGAGCGTCATCATCCTCGGTCGAAGCTCGAATCTCCTCGACGTTTCCGTGAGCTCGGTCAAAAAAGCCGCCGGCCTCGCGAAGAACCCATCGCCATTCGGTCAGCTCGACCTCGCGCTTCTTTAATGTCTCGTAGCTGTCGTTCAGTTGGAAGATGCGCTGCTCTAGGCTTTGAGTCCGCTCGGAGAGTTCGTCGATCTCGGAAGTAGTGGGAGGAGCGAGAGTTTCGACATCAAGGTCTAACCTTCGTAGAGGAATGCTCGCCTTTTCCATTTGGGAATGGAAGTAACCTGGGAGCATGTTAGACAGGATAACGCGACTCGCGGCTCGCGGCTCGCGACGGTCGGGGCTTTCCAAGGCTTACGAAGCTGGCGCTCAACATTGTCAAGCCTTCTAATCTCTTGAGTAAAGGTCCGCTGGAATGCACTGGTATCACTATTGAGCTAGATGGCTATTAGTATTGTTCGATGCGAACAAATCGACATAGGGATTGGTAGGGGATGGCAGCATACATCTCGAAATTGGACCAGTCCAAGTTCTCCCAACGCGTTAACACATTCTCGGCTGATTTCATTGGATATGTATAGCTGCACCATGCTCATGTCCGCAGAGCGGAACATGGACTGCTTTGAAGGAGCCATGGTAATGGACTGCGCTCCAAAGTCAGGCTGATGGTTCTCGATAGTGACGACGGAATGCGAACTGCAAGAAGGTAAAGCTTGAATTAAACGTCGTAGCCTTTGCAGGGGGGCCGCGCTTCTAATTTAGGAGACCGGCTGGTTTGTGGCTTGAAGTCACGAGGCGTACTTGTGGCGCACGCATTCTTTTTAGAACCTGGGCATATGACGTAGAACATACTTTATTCAATAATATCCTCAACTCCAGTGTGTTATGTTAAGAGTACCTGTTCTTAAATATCTTAAGATTTTCAATATTATTTCAAAAGTTTATATATTTACTTTCGAGAACGTATATACTCAGTATCATACAATGCATTATTATTTTATATCATTTACCTCTTTACTTTATGAGGTACTTAACCTCTAACGATAAGATCGAAGAGTAGGATTAAGTACCTAAGTACCTAACCTAGGTACCCACCCGTATTTTACTCTAATGGCTTATTACATATTAGTTTCTAAGCTCCATTCACAACATCGAACCATCCCGGTATCAAATCAATTGTCGAGTTTTTTATATAACGCGGACAGTACCAGCCGTACCGCTACTGTCGCCAATTGAGCTCGCATGAACACAGCCGATATGCCTTAGGTATGCATTGGCTGTTATCGAGGGCTGTCCAGGCGCAGTCTTCGTGTCGGTGTCGACTCTGCCTTCACTCCGGGCGTTCAATTGTACGGCATACCACGAACGTAGCCCCCAGGCGGAAAGTAACGGCTGCTGATATCTTCACTGCCTGTTATACGACTATACTTGGTACTGCGACTGTTATAGATACCCAGAGGAAGGAAGTGAGGAAGAAGGAACTCGACGAGAAACTAGAGAAGGCCAGAGCCGCATTGGGCAGCTTGGGTGTCCAAGACTCGTCCAGCCAACAAGGTGGAGGCGTCGACAGTCCCGATTCCGGCACTGCGATTATTTCGCGCAGTTCTGACGATGGGTCTAGAAGAAAGGAACAGGTTGCTGCCAACGGCCTACTGCGGGAGTTAGGAGTTCTATGCGAAATTACTCGTCGTCCAGTATCGCGTCCATCGTGGATACAAACACAGTTAGAATGGGCACACGTCGAAGCCGCCATCGTTGCGGAAGAGCAAGACTCCGGATGTATACTCAGAGAACCAAAATCTGCTCAGCAACTCCGAAGGACAACGATGACAGTCGTAGAGTTGGTAAATCAACTCATATATCGAAGTCAGACTTATAAGAGCACCCGGAGCCAAGATGTAGATGCCGAGCAGAAAAATAGCGTAGACGATGCTGTTTACAAGGAACTGAAGGATATATTACAGACTTTCCACTATCCAAGTTATAACCAACCTACCGAGGACCCTAGTGATGCCGCGAGGACTCGGTTTCTCCTTGGGGAATCCATACGGCGTATCTTTAATCATGCCGCAAATGCCAAGGAGATTGTAACCAAGATATGTTATAATCTCTTAACAGCTGGTGTGCCTCCGAGTATCCACACTTATAATACGTTAATTGCAGGCTTCAACCGGATTCAACGTCCTGATCTCGCGCAGACAGTTGTCGATTCCTACATCCACAGAACAACCTGGCCTGCCACCGAGCAGACCGCCGTATGCCTGCTCAATCACTACCGAGGGGTAAATCAGGAAGATGGCATACGAGATATCATCCAACGAATGAGGGGTGTTAGAGGTGATGGTCTACATTTTCGAATTATCGACAAGAAAGCTATTTATACGCGAGACTGGTTAGCGTGGGCTATAGAGAACTGTGCCTCGCGCAAGTATACCTATGTGGAACGAATGCGGCGAACGGATGCTGTATTCACTAGTATTATAAAAGGTTGGTTATACTGTGGAGAACTCGGCAATGCTGGCGCGGCCTTTGTGACATGTGTGCGTTACGGAGGTTCGATCACCATTCAAACGCTCCAGGAACTCTTCAGAGCATGCCTATCAACAGTTGATTACACCGCAGCACGGCGATTGGTGGCAGGGTTGGCTAAGAATATGCGCAGCTTTGCGACTTGGATCGATTGTACTATTCGTCAAGAATCAGTAAACACGTCGCGTCAACTTATCATGAGCCTCTTAAATCTAGTTAACATCTGTCGGCTTCCGTTCAATTTCACGCCTGTCTCCGAATCCTACGACCAGACATTGCAGGGGCTCAGATCTCTAATTAACCTTACCCGATTCGAACTAGAGATACAAGAGACGGCGAATTTATGCGTGGCCACGTTCGAGGAATTGACTTCGAGTGGATCATTGGTAACCCGGCTTGATAAAGTTCTTGCCATGCTCGACTCAGCTCAGCTGAGCAGGCAAAAGGCTGCAAGGTCGCTCGCTCGCTTCGGCAGGCTAGCAGAACTCCTTTCTATTGAAAGGAGATGCCGCGACCTAGAGACAAGAATCAAGACCACGACAGCATTAACGACGGCTACCATTCTCAAAATCAAGACGGGATATGAGCTTGACCCATCCGCAATTCTTACTTCGAAACAAGAATCTCCGATTTGGTATCAGCGAGAGTATTTTTTTTGGTACCAGCGGCAGCGCTACGACTCCCTCGTCAATGCTCTTCAAAACATTCAAATCAACTGGGGTCCGATGACAAAAGAGGATATAAGGTCGCAACTTCTTCGACGCCTACCTGACCCTGTTCTGTCGAGAAGGCTAGGGAATTCTGGTCATCCAGAGAACCTAGGTATAAGAGCACTGACGAGCTTTTATGTATCAGGCATGACACACACCAACGGGCACCAATATGTCTTTTGTAGTAGGCCCATAAGCCAGCTCGAACAAGAACTTACTGACATTGAAAATACGATCAGAGCTATACTATTCGCTCACCTCAGCGGCGATACTCAAAGGAAGCTTAGGTTCCAGTATCCAAACTTCTACAAAATGCCTTTCAAGAAACTTTACAAGTACCAATTGCGGAGAAGCATCTTCAAGACGGTCTCTGCCATAGATGAACAGCAGTCCGGCATTATCAAACCACACGGCCAAATAAAACCGGCAACCAGAGCCAGCGAGGGGCTATTAGGGATACCGAGAGACATACATCTAGGCATTGAAGAGGGGTTACATTTAGACCACTCGAGCACAAAGCTTCGCTCGGCGGGTTCATCTGAGTTGCGCGATGCTGACGCCGCTCTCCCCTTGTCCGCGTTAGGATGAGGGGTGAGGGTGAGATATGCCCTGTAGAGCGGATGCGAGGGTTTAATTGGATCCTGGGGAAGCTTGGCACAGAATCAAGGGAATCTTGAGCCAAACCTCTATCCCCATCCCCTTGTATATAAAACCAGCTATACTTACCTTGATCTGTATAATTTAGTCGTGGACTGATTTTATGCTCGCTCAGTTGCGGCATATTGTACCTATAAACGGTCACAGTCCCGGTCTCGGTCCCGATACCGGATGTTAAATAAGAACAACTAACCATTCGAGGTCTGTTTTTGTTTCGATTTCAGTACATACGTGTCTTCCTATCGTGCGGTATATATATCTGCTAGGTATCCATCGGAACCGATTGGGATAGATGATGTGCTTAAGTGTGTAAATAAGGTGTGTAGGTCCGAGAGATTACCTATCCTCTAGAAGATACCTAGGTAAGTACTAACACCGAAATATGGAATGCGTGCATAAACATCTCATCGAATACCCGCAAGTGTGTAATCCGTAAATGGTTGTCCTACACGATAAGTTGAAAAGTGGTACGGTAGCATTACATTGCCTACACCCTGCGGGCTTTATTCATAGGGTTATCTTTCTTGGGTAGATGCGTAGCTGTATGTAGGTAGGTACTGGGGTGTAGGATTGGGATTGATTACCTAGTTATGTAGGTAGTTTATACTATAGAATATGTCCGCATCATGATAAAAAAAAACCAATAAAAAAAAGTATGGAGTTGGATCAATTCAATAAAGATGCATATATGTACCTATATGAGGTACCTATGTACCTAGATAGGTGTATGTATGGCGGAGCCTCTGTACTACACTACATGGTACCTATTCTCCCGTGAAGGCGCCGTCAGCAAGTACCTACAAGTATAGATAGGGGCTGTAAATGCGAATATATACTTTATAGGTACGGTACCTGAAAAGCACTAGTATATCGATGCGTAGACCGGTGGGTGTCCTCGTAAGTCTTTCCGGCTGACCAATTAGATATCTCCATCCACATCACGTCTCTCCACGGCAAGGGTCTACTGGCCCCTTGAGATCCCACAACTCTACAAGCCAACAAGAAACTTAATAAATCATTCAACATCATTCAACCTCACCGCCCGGAAATGTGAAAAAGCGGAGCTTTAATGGTTTAATGGGTTGATCTAGAGCTTACTGCGTCACTAGAGACAGGACGAATGTGCAACGAAGCTGTTTAGTTGGTCGATTGGAGATGACAGGTTCAAAGGGTTTAAGGGTCTAAGGGTCCGGCTGCATTCTCTTCTTCCCCCTACCTCCAAGCTTCTCCCCAGACTCTACCATAAATAGGTACAGGTACTGCATACACATCAACGTCGGGACGCTTTGCGGTGTAAAAGTTTATTAAGTAACACTGGTCCTTACCTTACCTTACCTTACCTTCCCTACATAAGGTCCGGTGCTTGACTTAGATCTTTGTTTCTATTGTCTCTATGTTTGCCACTCCCCCTACATGAGAGAAATTGTCACTCTCGATTGTCAATATTGAAGTTTGGTAAACGTCAATGGCTCTGAATATCTGCCTTCGACAGCAAGAGATTCAGTCGACAGGCTATTCATGATAACTACCGGGCCACGCAACATAATTCGTCTGATTTCGAGTAACCCGAGCGATCGTTGCTATCTGAATAGCCTGAAATCTTATTTTATACCAGCTGCTATTCTTCTTGCAGCTGTTATTCATAATCTGACTAACTCGGAATCCCGAGTTGATGTAAGTCAGGCACTTCTTTGGAGCATTGGCCATAATAGAATAAAGTCCAGCTAATTGATTGGGTAGGTACCTTGTTTGACTCAGTCACTCCACCGAGTTAATCATACCTATTCCTTTTCGCTACTTAGCCAGAGTTTACTTCCATTTAACTCGCTTTCCCATCTTTATTATACCAGGTTAAACCTTCTTCTTCATTGTACACCATCTACCAACCAGGAAAAAGCAGGCGCAAGATGAAGTTCGGAAGAAGGTAAGGATCACCAACATATCTGAGAACATCCCATAATTCTAGGTCCAAGAGCTGACACCTTTTTTTATAGTTTACCTCGTAACCAAGTCCCCGAGTGGGCATCTTCGTACATCGACTACAAAGGCCTAAAGAAGTTGATCAAGGCAGCTACGAATGCTGTGAATGCGGGAGAGGACGTTGATCTAGCAGGTGGGCTAATTTCTCGACGCTACGTCGAAACCCGTTGCACCCCCTAACCTGATACCCACAGAGTTTTTCTTCGCTCTGGACCGTAACCTCGAAGATGTCGATTCCTTCTACAACAAGAAATTTGCCGAGGCCCATCGCCGTATCAAGTTACTCGAGGATAGATATGGTAGAAGCACGGAGGTCGTCGCAGAATTGGACGACCAGGAGAGCGAGGAGCTTATGGGAGCTCTGCTTGAGCTTCGAAATCAGCTACGCAACCTACAATGGTTTGGCGAAATCAATCGCAGAGGTTTTGTAAAGATCACAAAGAAGCTGGATAAGAAAGTACCGAACACAACTACTCAGCAACGATACATTACGACCAAGGTCGACCCTAAACCTTTCGCTAAGGATACCACTGTTGTACGGCTGATCAACGAGATTAACAAGTGGCTCTCCGCGCTTGGGGATGCGCAGAATTTCGACGATGCCAAGTCGGATAAGTCTGGGCGCTCAGTGCGTTCGCTTGGAAGAGTAACCGCGAAGGTCATGTTGAACGTCTCGCAACCCGTTCTAGACCAGCTTGATGCCGCAATTCGTAAAGATGACATCGCAACGCTACAGAGTAGCTTAGCAAGCGAGAAGTTGGTGACACCCGAACAGGCCTCTCAGGAGATGCTGCTCAACCTCCTACAGCGTTCTATTTCCGCTCGGTCAAGGGCCTGCATCACACACCTCCTAGGGCAAATTAAGACATTGGACGAACCGGGAGACATAAATGAGCGCAATTGCGTTCACCGTCTAGTCATCCATATTGGACGGAGTAAATCATCACAAGTTGGCGATCTGGAACCTAACGCGGTCTCCCTTCCAATAAAGTCTCACTTTAACAGTCACTATGTTGCGCCACCCCAAACTAATGGTTCGACGGCGACACGATCGGTAAATGGAAACGGCCCTGGGACGCAGCTATTAAGCAAGGAAGATGAAACAGTACAGCTCCTGTGCTATCTTCTCGATTCCCTTCAAGGAGAGCAGCGCCGCGCGTTGACAGCTAGGGACACGCTAGGCCGCATGCCTCTCCATTATGCGGCGCAATTCGGCATTGTCGTCCTCTGCCAGGTTGTCATGGCGAAGATGCAGGAATGGGGACAGTTCAATGTCGAAGATGGAATTGATGCTCCTGAGTGGCAGGATAAAGAAGGCAATGCGCCACTTCATCTTGCAGTCATCGGCGGTCACCCATTGACTACGAAGTGTCTTTTGCAGGGAGAGAACTGGCAGGGCCCGACTCATAAAGAAGGTGTTGCTAGGAAATCTGTGTCTAAATCCAGCGCCGTATTGGCATTGGCTACGAAATCGAATTTCGTATACATTGTGCGGATGCTCGTGGAGGCCGGTATAGATATAAACTGGCAAGACGAGACAGGAGAGACTGCGTTGCATATTGCTGCTAGATTTGGACACGTCGAGTGTGTTAAGATCCTGCTTGAGGGCTCACCAGAGCAAAAAGTAAACTTGGAATTGCCGGAGAAATCGTTCGCATGGACTCCTCTACACATATCGGCCGTGGATGGACATCTTCCCGCGGCGCAACTACTAGTAGAAGCTGGGGCAGATGTTGGGAAAATGGATTCTTTCGGGTGGACTGCTAAAGAACACGCAGCTTTACGAGGACATCTGAATATAGCGAAGCTACTCGCGGAGCATGAAGTTAGCTCACTATCTGCGAATGGCGCGGAGGATACTCAAACGCCGCCTTCGGTTTCGTCCTCACCTCCAGAAACGTTATCTCTCGAAGACCGAAGGTCAGACGGGAGCACCCGGATCACGGAGCCGATTAAATCTTTCGGTCACCGTTACCTAAAAGATAACAGCCTTGTGATGGTGAGCTTAGGCTCCATGGATATGCGGAAGAATATCGAAGCTGTCAAACTCGACCGCGTTCCTTTAACGGCAGCGCATACCAATCAGCTTGACACGGCCCTATCCGTTGTGGTTTCAGCTCAGGGGGCGCAGGGGGAGCCAACTATCATTGATCTGCCAGTACACGAAAATATATCCACCGAGCCGATCTTGTTTACTACATCGGATGCCTCAAATGTTAGATTACTCTTCGACATCGTGCCTACCTACTCCGGCAATGAGAAAAACAAGGTTGGCCGTGCGGTAGCGTTGCTATCATCTGTCCGTCCGTCACTTGGGACGAAGCGAATGAACCTTCAGGGCGATGTATGTGTACCAATCCTGGGCGCAAACCTGGAAGTTATTGGTGCTGTTAACTTTAACTTCCTCATCATCACGCCATTCTCGCATCCAAACATGGAAATCAACTCTCACCAGACGTACTGGAAGAAGTTGTCCTCTACTATGGTCTTCGGTCATCGTGGTCTGGGCAAGAATTTCCTCGAGAACAAATCGCTCCAGTTGGGCGAGAACACGGTTTCGTCATTCATCGCTGCGGCTAACTTGGGGGCTCACTATGTTGAATTCGACGTCCAGCTCACCAAAGACCACGTACCTGTCATATATCACGATTTCTTAGTGAGCGAGACAGGTATAGATGCGCCGGTTCATACATTGACCTTAGAGCAATTTCTCCATATCAACAATGAGTCTCAGCCAAGACCTGGAAATGAATCCCCTGACAAAAAGAGGGATGATACTAATGGTAATGGTGTAAAAGAGCCCGGACCGAGGCAAAGATCTCTCTCTGTGGACTTGGCTAAAGGTGTGAAGAGCAATCTTGACGAGCGTATGAAATACACACTCAACTTCAAAAAGAAGGGCTATAAGGCAAACACCCGGGGAAACTTTGTTCAGGCGCCGTTTGCCACTCTTGAGGAGCTCTTCAAGAAAGTACCAGAAAATGTCGGGTTTAATATTGAGATGAAGTACCCCATGCTACTCGAGAGCGAGAAAGAGGATATGGACACATATGCGATTGAGCTCAATTCATTCTGCGACACTGTCTTGAATAAGGTGTACGACTTGACTAAGAATCGTCATATCATCTTCAGCAGTTTCAACCCCGATATCTGCCTCTGCCTCAGCTTTAAGCAACCGAGCATTCCGATTTTGTTTTTAACAGACGCGGGGAGCGAAGAGGTCAGCGACATCAGAGCTAGCAGTCTTCAGGAGGCTATCCGGTTCGCGAGCCGCTGGAACCTGCTGGGGATTGTGAGTAACGCAGAGCCGTTCGTGAACAGTCCCCGGCTAGTCAAGGTGGTGAAGCAGACTGGGTTGATCTGCGTCAGCTATGGAGTTCAGAATAATGATCCCACATTAGTCCAGGTAAGTCACTCTACGTAAAACCAACTATACCTCACCGGTGAACAGACGAGTTAAGAGGCTAACAATTATCTCACCATATAGCGCCAGGTTAAGGAAGGTATTGATGCGGTGATCGTGGATAACGTCCTTGCGATCCGTCGGGGACTGACGAAGGATGACTGAGCATTATAGAGAGAGAGAGAGAGAGAGAGGGAGAGAGCTAGACTCATTAGACCTGACAAGAATGAGTACCTAATCTAAGAGAGATAGATTGGGATTATTTAGCCTTGAGGTACCTATCTATTAACCTGTCTTAGACAGCTTAGCGATGACTCTGCTAGATATCAATAGATTTCGCGGTGCGTTGAGTACCTTAAGTAGGCTGGTCTTTAGCTGGGCCGTTATTCATAAGTAAACGATATAGTGAATAGTGTATCCACTATCGTCGAAGCTAATTGCAAGTATGGAGCGAAGTTGATTTTGACGTATCCACGTGGGTGATCCAACTGTGACGACATTCCAAAGACTTAGGTAAGAGCCCGGCGCAGATAACGGTGATAGCGATAGCGATAGCCTTCTACCCACAGCTGAGCAAAATTGTTGAACTAAAATATGCGCTTAAGCACATCCGGTTCTAAACTTTCGCCGAAGACCGGCCGATTGGTAAGGACAGCACCCAGTAACCTGCCGGTGATCACATCACCAACGCAAACCAAACCTGCAAGAGATTCGCCGCAATTTTCCTTAAGTTTCTAAATCTAGTGACTACCACCAAGGCTTTGCAATTCCCGTTCGAGGAGAATGCGGCCTTCTTCCCAGTCACCAATCAGAAGCTGATCGCTCTTCTCTTTCTTTAGATTCATTTCTATCTACTAGATTAGGTAAATTTACGCTGTGAATTGGGAGAGATCGTCTTTTTATTTCTATTTATTCTTAGCCTCGCCGCCACTCTTTGCGCATATTACGTCTATCCTTCGAATTCTTCAATGCGAGCAACTATCAAATAGCCAATACTGACTGACCAAGCGCATACTTGAGCCAAGTCGCCATGGCGTTTCAAACGTCAGCTCTGCCGAGCATCGCGGCGGCGACGACGGATTTATGGCCGTCAATATTGAACACGTTGATGGTATCATTCCGACCGTCGGCGCTGCCGCCTTTGAATCCGAAATTACCTCGAACCCTAAAAGTCGAATCAAATCATCAACATCATCAACAGGCGCATGTCCAGCCTAAGCTCTCCTCTCCGGTTATTCCCAAGTTTGAGCTTCCCGAATTTCTTCGAAATGCCCAACACGATGCCCGTCTCATGCCCACCGCCTCTGTAAAGAATATTCCGGCTCCCTTCGATATTCGTTCCTCGATTTCGAGTATGCAGCGTACCGCGCTCATTGCGGCGAATCCGGTGGTGCATCGTCTATACCCACAATATCTATCGGTCCGCTCTATCTCGACGTCCACTACTCCACGTATATTCCCGAACCAGTTAACGAAGATGAATCTGCCCCAACGACGATCTTTTCAGACCGGTGGTCTATCTAGGAACTTGCTTGCCCATATGGAAGAGTCTGCCAATAGGAACCCAACTAGTGCTACCGCTCAAAACGCATTCTATCAGGCCCTCTTGAAAGCTAACATGCCCGCTATCATCATTGAGAGATATCAGTCTGGACGCTTTGCAACAAACGCTGCTGCAACTGAAGCGTACCATAAAGCCTTGAACATGTTAACTCCGAATGGTGGCCAGGGACTTCAAGACGAGGATATCAACCAAACTGTTAAGAATCTACCCGGAGACCTAACCCCCACGCAAGTCCAAGCTGTCACCCAGGCTCTAGCTGCTCGATCCCGCGGCAGCAACCTAGCAGTCTCTAAAGGCGGACAGGCGACGGGTGGCAAGGATGGCCCACTTCACGTTGTCGTCGATGAGACCCTTGGTGGCAGTGTCTTTCGCTGGGTTAAATTTCTTCTCTGGTTCTGTCTCTTCACCTATCTCAGTTTAGTCGTTGTAACTATGCTTATCGATGCCTTGAGTATGTTCAAACGACCTGGCGGCAAAGTCGAAAGTGAGGTCAAAGCGGAACACCAGAAGACTCGATTCTCAGATGTGCACGGTGCTGATGAAGCTAAGGAGGAGTTGCAGGAGATGGTCGACTTTCTGCGCAACCCCGACAAGTTCTCCCAACTAGGCGGTAAACTCCCTAAAGGTATTCTGCTGGTAGGCCCTCCTGGTACTGGAAAAACGCTTCTCGCAAGGGCAGTCGCTGGTGAGGCCGGTGTCCCATTCTTCTACATGTCCGGTAGCGAATTCGATGAGGTTTATGTTGGCGTCGGTGCGAAGAGAGTCCGAGATCTCTTTGCTGCTGCCAAATCCAAGTCGCCTGCTATAGTCTTCATTGACGAACTTGACGCTATAGGGGGTCGTCGAAATGCGCGCGACGCAGCATACGTGAAGCAGACTCTGAACCAACTTCTCACCGAACTTGACGGATTCGATCAGACCAGCGGTGTTATTATCATCGGTGCTACTAATTTCCCAGAGTTACTCGACAAGGCCCTTACGCGACCAGGTCGTTTCGACCGTCACGTCGTTGTTGACCTGCCTGATGTCCGTGGTCGTCTTGCCATCCTTAAGTACCACTCCCAGAAAATCAAGGCTGCCAAGGATGTCGATCTCCAAGCTATCGCCTTAGGCACTTCCGGACTTTCTGGCGCCGAGCTCGAAAATATTGTTAACCAAGCCGCCGTTCACGCGAGCAAGGCGAAGGCGGCCTCAGTCAGGAAAGAAGATTTCGATTGGGCCAAGGACAGAGTTATCATGGGTGCCGAGCGAAAGACAATGGTTATAAGCGCCGAAGAGAAAGAAATGACAGCTTATCACGAGGCTGGCCACGCGCTTGTCAACCTATTGACCAAGGGTTCTGGCTCAAGCTTGTACAAGGTCACCGTCCTGCCTCGCGCACACTCACTAGGTCACACAGCCTCTTTGCCGGAAATGGACAAATATTCCTACACTATAGGCAATTATCTAGCTCGGATAGAGATGTGTCTAGGAGGTAAACTTGCTGAAGAGATTGTCTTTGGAGTTAACCAAGTTACTAGTGGCGCGTCATCGGTAAGAGTGCACCCTGCGTTTACTTCTTCGTATTTGAGTATGGATTTGTACTGATAATATCCATTCAGGATCTCCAAGCAGCAACCGCTGTTGCTTTTGATATGGTCGCAAGCTTGGGCATGTCTTCCAAGCTCGGAAATATGGAGTACAGGAGCCGATACGACTCCTTGAGCAGCGAAACTAGAGCCCAAGTCGAGTCTGAAGTCCAACGCACACTGAACGAAGCTTATGAGCGAGCTCGGAAACTCCTAATGGATCATCGCAAGGAACTTGACCTCCTAGCCAAGGCGTTAGTTGAGTACGAGACGCTGAGCAAAGAGGAAGTTGAGAAAGTTATCCGTGGTGAACGGTTACATAACCGCATAGCCGTTCCGAAAGGCCCTATGACCATCCCTTCGTCCGCCAAGCCTCCAGCCCCAGGCGAACTAGCACCCCCTGCTCCGGAAGGGGATGACGGCCAACCCCCGCCGCCGGTTCCGCCAGCACCGGGCGGACTCGCCCCGAAAACCCTCCCTCAGGATGGTTCAAGCGAGAAACGGGATAGCTAATCTAGTGACTATTAGTAGCTTATCTATATTACTATACTTAACTTCCGTCGAAGATGAGATATAGGAAGCCGGCGGCTAGCTATCACCAGACATAGTGGCGAGTGTGCCGAGCTTAGGATTGTGTTAGGTGGCATTGCCACGTAAGCACTATCTGTTCACAGCGCGGATGATATGACAAGCGCAGAGGAAGCGAGAAGGAAGGGGAACACCACTTGAAGCGTTAGCTATGGCCTATAGCCCACTCAAGTAAGATGATTGAGGTCCGTAGAGGCGGTCGGGTGTCTGTATTAGCACGTCCTATAGGGTACTACCACTGTACTATTGCCTACCGTTATTGTGAATAATCAAAGGGGGTAGTTAACAGTTAGGTGTATCTTTTTCTTGCGTATGTCTATTATGTCACCCCATGAAAATAGAAATAAGATCATACATGTAAACAAGTGTAACAGATGAAGAAGAAAGCTCCGTTTTTATTATTTTCTCGGAGAGAAGCATCATAGGAAATTCTTACCTTACACCGGAGGAACGTTGTATGCAATTAATTGCTTGCTCATCGAGATAATTTGACATATACTGGTTAGAGGATAAATAGGATAAATACGTTTATCCTCGAATTGTTACGTTCGTGGTCTTCATGCGAGATTATTTATCAAGATGGTTGGCTGTTTGCTAGCGTGGGAATATAGGGGTAGAAGTTTCGACTTCGTCATTCCTCCTTTATATATAAGACTATAACAGATAACCTATAACACAGCTATTCCAATATAAAGGAAACCAGCTGAGAAAAAAAAGAACAAAGACAATAAAATAAATTACAAAAAAGATATAAAACGTACAACACCAGGGATTCGCTGGTCGTCACCGACCCAACTACTAATCCGGCAGTATCTGGCTTGTCTAGGGGGAGAGCGGACGGGATCCCGAATTTTCCAGATCTTATGGTCGTACGTGATATTGCGATGTGTTGCCGAGGTTTATATTATTTCCTTGGTTGTCCTACGTATATCCATAAGTCAGTCCACCTCTATCCGTCCGTTTTCCAACACTCATACCACACTACTCTTATTCGGAACTCTTCACAGTCGGTGCAGCTGTAGAAAGTAGGAGAATCTACTATCACAAGATTGCTCAGCAAAAGCTTCTTCTTGTCGGGAGTTGGCCATCTCGTAACGGTATATGTATGGACTTCAAACCCGGCTCCTTCGACTGCGAGCGCAACGTCTCGCGCGTAGTAAGTTATTGTCATATTAAGAATAGCTTTTACCTGGTATTCCAATTGGGGTACCGAAAATAATATTGCTCGGATAGCAGGCATGGCTGCGGGTGACTTTTAGAACGACATGGAAATCATTGATGTTCGGTCCGTGATGTTTTGGTTGGTAATACGCGGGTACTAGAAGCCGTAGAGCATAAACCTCGAACTATATAGACTGAGCACTATTCAGGTGATCTTATTTAAGGTGATGTTGGAGTAAGAAGGTACTCCTGATGGGAGTTTCCTTAACCTGTGTTTTCTAGTACAGCTTTACTATTATTACTAAGCATTCTGAGCACCGGGGGGAGATGGGAGTCTGCCTGCTTTGATTTCAGGGTCTGTCTACTTACACGCAGAGCAGTTTCTCTTAGGAGAA